ACTGCAATATGGCATTGGGAAAATTTGGGCATCTGCTGGGCCCCTCTGTGCATTGGTGTGTCTGGGCTGGGCACAAGCCTCCTCCAGGGAAGTGAGGTAGGCATGGTGAGGACACATGGAGAAGCAAACCCTGGCCAAGGTGAGAACCCTCTCAGGCAGCTGAGCTGCACTCACAGAGCATTTCAGGACAGGCACTGGCATGGCAGGGTGGCTTCTCACTCCCCACCAGATACAGCATGTGTGCACAAATGAAAGATAAGCTTTTGCTAAGAATTAGGGTGGTTGAAGTCACTTTGCGAGTCAACTTTGCAGCTACTCCTGCAGGTGCCTTGCTGTCTTTATAACATGTACTTAACAAAACAGGAAAAAAGTGGCCTATACTGCAAAATAGTGAGTTGCTGGATGCAGCACCCATGCTGCTTTTCTAAAGCCTGACTGGTAAGTGACACTTAATTCACCTAGATCTTAGTCACTTAGATCTCTGCAGGTCCCTGAAGGCATTCAAATACATGCCTCGTGTCTTAATTCGAGCCCTGAAACGGTGCAGGCTAGAGGAGGGAGAAGCAAGGTCTATTTCTGGCTTTCTATTGAATAACCCTGACCCATTCTCCCATTTTTTATCTCACCCTGCTCCCTTCACTGCCTATCTTTGCCTGGTCAGCGTTAGACCCCACACCACTTGGGCAGAGGCTGTTTCATATTCTGCCTTTGTCACCCTGGGAGGTGTTTCCATTTTCAGCTGTCATTGTATGGAAAACCAACTCTCCTGGCCACAGAGGGAGCTGTACAAGTTTTCACATACCCTGAACCAGGATATAGGTATTTTACAAAAAAAAAAAAAAAAAATCTCATTTCAACTAAAATTATCTTCTTAGAAAAAAGAGCCATCTGTGTTTCTCACCTGCCTTGCCAACCAAGTTTCATCCCTTCAGGTTTGTGTTTGTGTGGTGTGGACTGACACTGAAGATGATGTGAGAAGTTTTTGTGCTGGGCAGTTCTATCCCCATGAGTTTGTCCACTCATGGGCCAGACTGGCAGCCACAAGGGTGCAGGTGGTGTTTCCCAGGATTTCTTCAGGGAGCCCTTGGAAGGTGAGACCCTGGGACACCTTCCACTGTGGCCATGGGTCCTTGGCTGCAGGCTGAGCTGTGAGATCTCTGTTCATACTGCAGCAGACTGAGTGGGCTGTCAGGGCTGAGTCTTGTGTTGCTTTTCAGAGAGAAGAAGAGTAAACCTCCACAAAAGCTGCATATCCAGCAGGGTGTTTTTTCCACCTGGCAGTCTGAAAGCAGTGCAGGGCAGTCCTTGAGGGAGTGATGCACAGAAGTAGAACTCCTACCTCACCCCCACAAACACCACCACGGCCCTTCACCTTGTGTGGGAACACCCTAGGGCGGGCTGGGGCTTTAAAAGGAGGGAAGATACGCTGGAGAGGGAAGTCTTTCACTTCCTTTCTTTCTGAGAGAGATGTCAGTTGGATTAGGAGCCCACTGTGTTGCCCATGTGAACGTGCGCATCGTGCTGCAGCATCACGTCCTGCAGGTGCAGTGTGCTGGCCCCTGAGCATCAGTGGCTGCTGGGGAGCTGCAGCCCCTGCCTGTCAGTGCACAGCACATCACCCTCCTTGCCAGTAGCCCACCTGGGCCCTCGCCCACAGGTGTTTCTGCTCTTCAGAGCAACCCAACCTGGCTTCCATCTCTCTGCAAAAGCCCTGAGGAAGAAAGAGGAAAAGAATTGTGAAGAGTTATTTGCATGGATTTTAAGATCTTCTCCAGCTTTTTGTACACAGCATCATTTTCAAGAGGCTCTGAGAGGCACTTGGCAAGTGCATCCATAAGGGAAACCAGCTCTGGCACAAGCAGGAGGCTGTGCAGAGAAGCAGTACATGAGCTCCCATCCTCTGAGCTCTCCACCCACAGGGATTAAAGACCTACCTGGACAACGATGAAATAGTGTCTCCAAAGGTCTTGCACTTAATCTAGAAGGACTCTGTGGAGGCTGCCATCTCCTGCCATCCACCCATTGCCTGGTAACCCAGCTGGTCTGCAGAGAGAGGCAGCAAACCCCCAGGGCCTGGGAGCAGATATGTGAACCAGCAGAGCTGGATTCTGCCTGCAGATCTGGCTGTAAACCTTTGCTCTCCTATTTCTGTCCTACTTACCCCATCATCTGCCCCCCTGCTTCAAATCCCATTCCCTAATTAAGTGATGTGTTAAATCACTTTGGTAGCACTTAAACATTCTCATGCAAACAGGCTTTTATTTTTGTCTCAGCTTGCAGCAGGCAAAAGCTGTGATGTGGCTGTGGGGGTGTTGTTAGGTAGTATTTGATTAATTAACAGATGAAGTTTTGGGAAAGGAAATGTAAATTTTACCCACAGACTCTTCCAATGTTATCTAGCAGTGATAATTTTATTTCTGATATTTTCATGGTGAGGCAAGGGGCAAAAAAAGCATTGGTAAGGCAATTATCATAAATTATTGTACCTTGGAAGTCACTAGAAATGTGTAATTATTTACTTACAGGTATATCCATTACATTCATTATTGTAGTTGCATCTTCTAATGAATCCTTTAGCATTATAAATTAATGTAAAGTGTTATGAGTGTTTCTTTCTCCTGATCTTTAATCCTACAGGGATGGAGATCAGTGAATAATAAGGGAATTTAGTGCATGCTGCAGGGAAGGAAGGGCAGAGCTCCAGAGGATGGATCTCCAGCCAGTTAAGCCAAACACTACAGAAATGAAGATGTATGTGCAAATGAGCTGATGCCTGGGGTTACTCAGCTGAAAAGTAGATGACCTCTGTGAGTGAAAGTGGTAATCCACGGAGCAGCTTCTTCTTCCTTTGCTGTGTTGTGTGAGCAATACAACTTAATCATAAAGATCCATCTTTCTTTTTTCACATGCACAAGTGAGAGAGAGGATGTTTTTTCATCCAGTGCCCTGTTGTGCCCCAATTTTTTCCTGTCTGCAGGGTCCAGGAGGCTGTATGTGGATCCTGGACCCTGTGGAGCAGCAGTTGCTGCCTCTGAGCCCCTCACCCTCTAGGAGGTTCTTGGGCTGGCTGGCTAGAGGTCCATGTCCTAGAGACAGTGCCTAGCTTCACCCTTCAGATGGGGCTTTGTGCTTCCTACCTCGAGAGAAACCAGGGCCAGGAGGTGCAGCAGGAGGAGGAAGACTTGACCTGGCTGGCTCTCACCTGCTCAGGCTCCTGCCAGCAAGCTGAACCTTGCTGTTCCACTGCAGGGGTGGCATGCACTCCCCACTGCAGAAATGCCCCCAACATGGCTTGTAAAAGGTAAGAAGCCCTAATTATAGTAATAGTGCTCAAAGAGTTTCTCCGAGGTTGTAGGCAGAGGTTGCTCCTTCCAGGATGCTGGGAATGAGATGTTTGAAATCTCGACACTCTTGGAAGCAGGTGAGAGTCCAAACCATCACACTTTTGCCCACCAGGCACAGACATTTAGGACTGACTGGCTACGTGGTAGGAACTGAGACTTGCTTTGTCCACAAGCAGCAGCCCCAGGCAACAGCCCCCACTCATTTCTGGAGTGCAAAGCCCTGGCACTGACTGGTTATTTCAGCCAGTGCCATGAGCATTGTATTCTCTGTAGATCGATCCCAAAGGATCGGATTCTGCCTATTGCTATGACAAAGAATACTCTGAGTCTCAGGTAGCAAGGAATTTGTTGATGTCAGGTATGTTTCTGTGGGGGAAAAATGAACATTCGTGAGGGGAAGGCCCAAGTTATGGCTGGTTCATTTCAGTTTTGTGTGGTGATAGGGGAAAGCAGACCCTGAGGTCTCAGTGCTGGTAGCAGAGCTTCACTTGGCCCTGTGAAGAAGTTCCTCCTTGAATTTCTGCCTGGGCCGTTCACCTTGGAAAACTATTTATAAAGCCAAAATGTAAATATAAATCTTGAAGATATATCTACCTTATTTTGAAGGGATATTACTTCTGTTTCATGGCCTGGTTTCCGAGCCTCTGCAAAAAATTTCTATGAGCTTTGGCAGGCCACAATTTAGGTCACTGCTACATTGGCATCTTCCAAAATAGATCTGAAATAAATAGTAATGAAGATACTTCAGGTGAGAGAAATCATACTGGTGTTTATGGTGCTTGATGTGAGATTATTAGTTTGAATGTTAATAACAAGGCCTTACAAGATTATTAAAACAGTTAATGAGGCTAAAACCTCTGTACTATTGTATACCATTATATAATTAGGGTCGATTCTGCATGTAAGAACTTTATGGAGTTGTCTTTGCTTTTCCCAGCTTTGCTTCTGGGGTTACATTGGCACATAGAGACCATGGGGAGACAGCAGATTTTCAAGTCTTTGCTAACTTGATCAATTAACTAGTTAGATAAAATAACTCCAAATTATCCAAACCTAGTTTCAAGCTGGAAAGTTTCTAGCAGTCCAGTGAAATGAGTGAACTTTTACTCATTGTGATAGACCCAGAGTTGTTGCAAGACTGATCCTCACCCATGGGTAAAATGAAGTGTTTCTGGTTTAGTGCTTCACCCTTTTTTTTCCTGAAGCTGAACAGAAGTTAAAGGACATTTCTCCAAACCTGGTTAGTGGCCAGAGTACTGGTGACATGCCCCAGGTGCGAGGTGACTGCAGGTGCTGTGTGACACAGGTCTGGAGCTGAGCACAGGGGGCACAAACTACCCCTGAGAAGAAGAGTTAATGGCTTGAGCACTGTCATCTAGGCAAAGAGAAAGCATGTCCACCCTCCTCAGCCTTGGTGCTGTGCCTGTTCCCTGTGATGCTTTATCAGAGTTCAAGAAGCTGTAGCTTTCATTTACTTTCCCAGCTGTGCCCAGGCCTGCTCTGTTGTCACTGGAGCTTGTTGCACTTGCTGGTTGTTAGAAGGTGCTCATTGGCACTGGTCAGTTCTTGTCAGGTTCACCATGGTGCCTCGTGAAATTAGATGTTTCTTTGTCACTGTCCAGAAAATAAATGCTTTTATCTCTTTGTATTTTGCAGATAATCAACCCCAATTTCATTCAAGAAGGTGAGTTAAGGACAGCTGTGCAGCAGCTGTGATTTACTGTAGTGTCACAGCATGCTCTGCACCCACCAGTATTTGCTGCTCAGTCCCCTGGCAGAGTGAGCTGCCTGCTGGCTGCTCAGCTCAGACAGCCCAGGGCCACGGGCAAGGCTGAACCCCCCACACCTGCCCTCACAAAGTCTCATTCTCCTGCCAGAGCACAGGGCTGGGGGTGGACAGTTCCTGCTACCTCCTTCTCTGAGCTGTTGTATGGTGGCTTTTAGTGAAGGGGAGCTCTGGTAACATAATCCCAGGACCCCCAGCTGTTTGGAACCGAGATCCCATAGTTGGTCCTATAATGTGTTCTCTAGACTTGTATACTCCAAACAGCCTCACCTGTAGACTAAACAAAGGTGTTGTTTGTGTGTCCCCATGTTTCCAGTTGCTCCAGAGTTTCTTGTGCCATTAGTGGACATCACCTGCCTTCTTGGTGATACAGTGATGCTACAGTGCAAAGTCTGTGGACGACCCAAACCAACTATAACCTGGAAAGGACCAGATCAAAACATTCTGGACAATGACAACAGCACAGCCACTTACACAGTGTCATCCTGGTAAGATCCTGCCTGTGGACCCCTACATAGTTGGTCATGATGGTCATGCTGCCCTCAAATATGGCACCAGCCAGGCTCCAAGACTCATTAGAAATGCAGTTAGTCAAGTCTGACATGGTTCATTGGCACATCAGTACACCACACATTGGCTAGAAAAGGTCAGACTTTGGGGCTCAGGTAGCTCTATCATTTCCCAAGCTGACATAGGCTATATCCACAAAACGTGCTGCTGGCAGATGGAGGCTTGCTCCTGTGACCTCCTGAGCCAGCTGCAAACTAGAAGCCAGAATGTTTACAACCCATTAGTTTGGCTAGTGTTGCCTCTGAATTGCTGGGGTTTCTCTGCTTGAGTGTGATGCCATGCTTACCTTTGGCAGAAGCAGGAGCTGAGCAGAGCAAGTACTCACCAGCTTGCAATACCCCTATCACTGGGCATTTTCTCATCTCATGGGCAGAGGTGGTAACTCCTGCAGTTTTCCTGAGCCATTCCTCAGCTGTTCCGAAAAAACCCACATATGTTCCTGGGAAGGCTACATCTGGCTGTGCTTGGACAGAAAGATGCTTGTCATGATGTTCCTGGCTTGGCTAGGAGGGAGGAAAACCATCTTTCCAGCAAGCAAAGATTCAGAAAGATGTGGAGTTGAATTCAGGTCAGGTAACAGCCTGCTGCTGGATGCTCATCTGCAGCTTATATAAGCGATTTGGGCCGAACTGCAGTGGAAATCTCCAGGAGGTAATCTTTCATTCGAACTTTTCAGCACTTCTAGCTCAGGCTGAAATGAATCCAGGGAGTACAAAGTCACTGAAACTGAAAAAAAGAACACTAAGAGAGAAGGGATTTTACATATTCAATAAAAAAAAATACATCTGATCAAGAGCTTCCTTCAGAGACCATTGGCTTGTGTGGCCACCCCAGAGCATCCAAAATTGTCTTTTAGCCATTACTCAGTACATCACTAGTGCCTTATCTTCAGGCTCTGGCTGGGGTTGGGATGGGGAGATTTTTCCATACAGGGCTCTGGTTTTCATCACAGTCCTCTGCCTGCGCATTGGCTCCCTGTGCACTGTCAACACTTGTATTGTCTTGTTAGTTGTGTACGTTTTCCAGTGAAGACACTGCCTGCCAAGGAGAGGCCCAGTGGATCAGTGGCTCTTACAAATCTTGCCGGCATGAGTGTCTGGATTTCACGGAAAGGAGATATTTTTCTCCTGTTTTAAACCAGCGCAGTCAGACCAGGAAAAGCTGCAGTGTCCAGACAGTTATCCCAGCAACCACGTCCTTCTACAGTTTCCAACAGATTAAGCATTCAAGAACTAGCCTACTTTTGCTATCAAGGGAACTTATTGTTGGTTTTAAGCTGGGTCTCCAGTACATCTAAAGCAGTTACACAAGCAAAATCCTTTAATTCAGGCCAAATCCTTTAAACTGCATATCGAAGACTGAAATGTACAAGCTGATGTGACTATGAACAGACCTGCTATAAATTCTCTAGACTCTGCAGAGCTGTTTATTTTCTCAGATTGGCCCAAAGACTGAGTGTCTCTCACGAACTCAGCACTGTGCTCTTTATCCCTAGCTGTTATGAGACGTCCAGCCTTCTTACTGGAGGCCTGGCAGTAACATTAGGCCAATGGCACATGCTCCAGGGGTCTGAAGCTTCCCAGAAATGTCAGACACCCTGTGCAGTGTGACTGCTTTCTGCATCTGTGGGAAGCACAATTTGTCTGGTGTGTGTTGGACTTCACTACAGAGGCACAGGAGCTCAGCATCTCCCAAGATAGGAAAGATGTGCCTGGGGAAATCTTTCCAGATATAAGGAGTCTAATCATCCAGCTCTAGACAGACACAGGAAATGTTCAACTCCTGGACTTTGCTTGCTGCTTGAGTGATCCTTCAGCATTTCCTCTGAGGCCACAACAGACAAGATTTGTCTGGCAGGCAATTTGGCCCAAAGGTTTGCTCAAAGGTTTCATTAACAGCCTAATCCTCACTTATGGATGGGTTGTACTTGGGTACCAGATTTCTGGAGGGATGTTCCTTCAAATGAGTTAAAAGGATTTGTGTGCACATGTGTTTGGAGGCAGGACAGGAGCTGTATAAAAACCATTAGCAAGCAAAGCAGTGCTTTCTAACTGGGGCCTTCTGAATCCACAGTGACTCTGGGGAGCTCACCTTGAAGATCTGCAATCTGATGCCTCAGGACAGTGGCATTTACACCTGTGTGGCAACCAATGAACATGGAACTGCATCAACCTCTGCCACCATCAAAGTTCAAGGTAGTACATCTGACTTTAAAATGCAGGATCTTTTGCTGTCAGGGTCCCTTAGTGGGGGCTGGGAGCACACAACAACAGCTAGTGCAGAGGCAGCTGGATGTGGAGCTGTGCCAGGTGAATTGAGATGTTAAAATCATACAACCATTCCTCAGCCACAACTCCCACTGATGGCTGAAGGCTTTGCATATTCTTTGTGCTTGATTAAGTTGTCTAATCATAAACATCACATCTGGGAAATGAAAATGCATTGCAGCATTGCTTCCCAGGGGCTTGGTAAAGTGGGCCAGGGGAAGCTGAGCTCCCTCAGGCTCCCAAGTCCCTGGGAGGATGATGCCCCAACTGACTGCAGGAAGATCTGGGCTTTAGAGTATGCCTGGAGCAGGGGGACCTGGGATCAAGCAACACCAATTTTCCATCTTCCCTTCTCTTTAGGGGACAGAGGAGACAAGAGTAAGGTTTGTCTTGTGTGAACTGTTCTGCAGGGATTCAACTCAGAGATGTCTCCAAGCCTAAATTCTCAGTAGTGTAATTAGTGACCCATCTGATTGTAATGAATATGAAATGATGAGTTGGTGCTCATTACCTCCAGCTCTGGGAAGGGATCTGTTAGCATGAGAGATGAGAGGTGCCTGCTGTGTTGAAGGGGAAGGTCCAGAGATGAATGTCTAACTAGTGACTTACAGATGCAGGAATGTCACGAGCATTTAGAAGTTGATTTGTTTGGTCTCAAATTGCCCTAGAGATATAATTTTCCAAATTTATCCAAGCACATTAGTGGCTGCACTAACTAATCTTGTGCTGAAGTGAGCCCTGAGCAAAGCACAGAAGAATTACTGGTCGTTTGTCAATCTGCTGCCAAGCACACCCATTGCCATACACACCGAAGAACTCTGAATGCCTTGCTTGTGTCATTTTTGGACACCTCAATGGTAACCGACTCCTCACCTTTGAAACTTCAGTTGCAGCTTAGTGAAGTCCAATGGGAATATTTGTTTTCCCCAGCTCCATGTGCTTTTCATCAGGTCTTGAGCTGGAGCAAAAATCAGCAGCAGAAGGTGGCAGGTAGAAAGGCTCTGCCTTTACAACAACTGAGCTCAGATGCTGTACACCCAAGGAGTGAGTTTCATGGTCAAGTCTCACAGGGACCTCTCTGGGGCATCACAGTGAGCTGACCACCAGCTGTGAGTAGGAAGAAATTCACCCTTTGCTGTAGTACTGTGAGATCATGCTGAGACAGTGGGGCTTCACTCCTGGCTGCTAGTATGGAAGTATCAGCCCCACGGTCACGGGTGAATGGGACTGCAACATTACCTTTCCTCTGGTGGTGCTGGTGACCCAAGGTAAACTAGAGTGCTCCTTCTACAAGGCACAGCTGCCCCGTAGTGACCTGAGGTACCTGATACACCTGATCTTCAGAATAAAGCACTAGCACTTGTTAATGTGATGCCATACTTGGTGCTTGTTTTCTCTTCCCAAGGTGTCCCAGCTGCCCCAAACCGCCCCATTGCTCAGGAGAGAAGCTGCACCTCTGTGATCCTACGCTGGCTACCCCCATCCAGTACGGGCAATTGCACCATTTCAGGCTACACTGTGGAGTACAGGGAAGAAGGTAAGTGCTTTGAGCTGTGCTTGTTGGCTGAAAGAATGAGAACAAAGTCTCCTTTATGGCACAACAGATACCATTCTTACCACCACTGGGGTGCCAGTAGTTGTACCTTACAGATCGCAAGGTCTAAGGCCAAAAGAAGACCTTCTATCATCCAGTCCAATCTGTCATGTATTTCTAACCTTTCTGTTTCCTCCAGTCACTTATGACAAGTAAAGTGTGCTAAACTAAAACATATCCATCGCTAAGGCATCTTTGTATCATTTGCATTCTACCACCATCCATCCTTTCTGGTGGATGCTTCCCAAGAGTGAAAAAACAAATCAGCCTCATTATTTTTTTGATGTGGATAGAGTTTCAGATTCCTGCACACTTTTCAAGCTCAGCTCTGAAATCCATTTGTTCTTAAATCCAACCATTCTATTCTCCGGATGAATTAGATATTAAATGCACTGCTTTCCCCATGTGCACAGGCATGTGCTCTTGAAAAAGACATTTGAAATGATTTACACCTTTTTTTTGCGTCCTTCCTGAAAAGGTGTGAAGGTCTCTGGGCAGTAAACCTTGCCTTATGTGTATGGCCTCTGTTTTTCCCCTTTCATCCTTCAAAAAATCCTACCTCATTTTAGTAAATGTGCAAACCTAGTCACTCCATCATATTAATGCCTTCTCTTAGCAAATACTTTCCCTTGTCCCTCATTGTGCCAGCAGGGTAACTGGCATTTTTGTGAAAGAGTAGAAGCTCCTCTATTAACAACAGCCCCCAGACAAACAGCAAAAAAGCAGCAGTGTTTTCAGTTTTCAGTCCTCCTCTCACTCCATAGGTCAAACTGATTTCTCCCTGTAGAACCAGCCTTGACCTTGTAAGACGGGGCAATCAGAATTTGTCCATAGTGCACACAAAATATATGGGTCATGGTAAATAACATAAAGGTAAAAGGCCCTGAACTTTCTAAAATAAGATAAAATGTTATGTATTTTTGAAAGAAGTCACAGTCTGTGGCAGGGTTCTGTGTCCCAGGGTCCTTTTTTATTCCATGACGGTGTACAAAGGAGTAAAGTATTGCTCCTTTGAATGCCACAGGTTAGGCAATAGTTGGGTTTGTTTCTGATAGGAGCAGAAACACATGACAGAGTCACACATTTCTTTGCTGCAATTCTGCTCATCTGCAAGATGCCTGTACTGAGCCTCAGAAAGCTGGTTCTCCTCCTGCAGCTGCAGCTTTCACTGTAGCAACCTATCTTTATCTGCAAAAGCATTTGGTTTGCACCAATACCCTGTCTCAGCTTCACCTGGGACTCCCTAGTTCATGGTTTTGGGGTCTGGTTTTTTTGCAGGATTTCTGCTACTGTTTCTCTCATAGCAGAGCTGTCATCAAATCAGCCCTTCACTTCTGTCTTATCATGCTGCCCTGAGACATTGCTTGTAGCACACAGCCACAGCTAGAGTACTGGAGAGATCAGCTTGTCCCTGGGCCACACTTTTTCCATCACTCTCGGTCAACAAGAGGGGCATTTCCTCCTTCAATCATTTAGCCAGACTGCAACACAAAATAGCTTCCTGTGATCCATTTCTGGCTTAACAGTCTGCTGTAACACTGCCTTTTAAAATCCCTGTAGATTTTCACCTCGCAGGGTACTACGTGTTGGGCAGAGAAAGCCTCTGCTCTAAGTTCACACAGTGAGACTGTTTCCTTCAGCTCTCTTCTCCCTCTGTGAAACACAGGCTCACAGGTCTGGCAGCAGTCAGTAGCCTCAACTTTGGACACATACCTCGTCATTGAGGACCTGGCCCCAGGCTGCCAGTACCAGTTTCGAGTGAGTGCCAGCAATCCCTGGGGGATCAGCTTGCCCAGCGACCCGTCCGAATTTGTGAGGCTCCCAGAGTATGGTGAGTGGGCACTGCAAGGGGGAGCTGATGTGCTCAGGAATCCACCTGTGCCATCTGTATGGTGTGCTTTTATGGATCCTGATAACAACAGGGAGCCTGGACTTGGTAGGAATACATGAAAAAGCCTGGGAGATGCTCAGAGATCTCCTGCCACCAGGATGGCTTTTCATGTCTTCACCTCCATCCAGGCTTACAGCCTCCCTCTGCCACAGAATCTATTGCAGATCCTTAGCAGGTCCCTGCTTTCTATCCTATGATTATTGCTTGTCTTTATCTCTGCACAACAGGCTCTGTGTCCTGGCTGGTGTCCCCTTTGCTTTTCCAGCAGTGCCAGCAGCACCAGCAGCTGAGCAGCTCAGCTGAGGGCTGCAATTCCACTTGAAAAATGTACCCCCTTGAGCAATGCAGCTGGAATAGGAAGGCTGTGATGGAGGCAAGTCCTCAGCACACAGTGCTGCAGGAATTTGGGGCACAGCTCACTCACAACAGTGCTGTGAGCAGAGCTTACATTTCCCCAGCTCACTAGGTCTGTGACTGGCTTGGAACAGCCTGTGCTGGATGGAACAAGAGCTCATACAGCATAGTTCTACCTCCGAGTTACACAGAGACATGCCCTTAATCTGTCTGTGTGGCCTTTTTGAGCCCAAAACTGCAAGGACAGATTTGAGCCCACCTTATCCATACCTTCCTCTGGGGAGCTTTGGCATTTAGTGGTCCAACACACTGGAGCTGTGCCTGAGCAGTATGAAACTGGACACCTAGTGGTAATGTTTCCTGGTTTAAGTAAAATGGTCTCTCATAATTTTAAAATATGCTGTTTATAGTCCACAGGAAACTGTCTTTATACTTTCTTGAATGTGCTCTGTTCTCTTAAAGACTCTGCTGCCGATGGTGCCACTATTTCATGGAAGGAAAACTTTGACCTGGCTTATGCAGAGCTGCATGAGATTGGGAGGTAATATTAACCCTGCTTATCACTGCAATAAAACACTCAAACAATGGCTTGAAGCTTTTTTCCTTGGAGGGGAGTTTAGATTGCTTTTGTAGTTAGCTCAAAAACTGCTGCTCCTTTCAAAGACCACATTAGATACTGATTAAAATACTGACTAAATTTTGTTGTGATTTGAGGATTGCCAGTTGGCAAACTGCTGAACAATTAGGCAGCAAAATCTCTGGCAGCTGTATCTCCACTATCATATCTGATTTGATGTTAGCTTTTGAAGTCATGACAATTTACTGGTTCTGGATAAGCTTAACCTCAAAGACTTAGTTTGCTGAAACACCTGGGCATGTGACTGACTTAAATCACATGCCGAAGCACTTTGCTGACTGGGAGAGTCAGTTGAACAGGAGCCTAAATAGGAGCGGCATTTGTTGTCAGACCTTGGTGCTCTTCAGAGATAATAGATAGGGGACATGCAAACAATTCAGGTTAATGCAGTTAGTACTTCAGCTCAGAGATCAGAGACAAGTAATTCTGGGGTTGAAAGGACAGGAGTCTCTCTGGTTCTGTAAAAAACAGTGTTGTATTACTAAGAGCCCAAGTTCAGCACATGGTTTCACTGGGTAGTTTTACTTTCTGGAGTGATGCTTGGCACTAGCCTGTATGAGTTTCCTAAATGCTTTCCTGACAGCTTTTTTCTTGGTTTCTTACTGTGTGTCTGGAAAAGTGATACAAAATGGTAGGTTAGTGATTATTTGACAAGGTTTTTGTTTTAGTTGTCTGAGAAAGTTTGGTCTCTTTAATAAAGCAACTAAAGAAGGGAGACCCACAGCTAGAAAAAAAAAAAAAGAGAGAGAGAGCCTGTAAAGTGGCAGCAAATTGAACCCAGGGGAGGTTGTTAGAGGATATAAGTATGGCTGCACAAAGCAAAGTGACACCAAAGTGACACTGTCTGTGTTTGCTAATCCCCAAAGAATCTCTACACCCAAGCTAAGAGATGAGGGGCCTTTGTTGGAAAAGGTTATGAACAACTTGCTAAATCTGATTCCTTGTGAAATATTAATGTGATGAATCAAATAACACTTCGAAAATCACTCTGTTATTGCACTGAAAACTAGGTGTGATTTATTCATGAGGCCACTTCATTATTCTGTTTGCTTTATAATTTCAGGGGTCGATTCTCCATAGTAAAGAAATGTGTTCACAAAGCCACCCGGAAAGATGTTGCTGTAAAATTCATTAGTAAAAAAATGAAGAAGAAAGAACAGGCAGCGCACGAAGCAGCTTTGTTACAGCACTTACAGCATCCTCAGTACATCACTATCCATGATACCTACGAGTCTCCTACTTCTTACATCTTAGTTTTGGAACTGTAAGTACACAGAGCTCAAATTCAAGTGTCAGGGTAGGAATCACAGCCCTATTAAAGCCAAGGATAAAATTCATCCTGAGTTCAGC